TGGGGGGCGGGGGGTGGGAGGGGTGGGGGGGCGGGGAGGGGGGGGGGGGGTGTCGGGGGGGGGTGTGGGCGGGAGAGAGATGGGCGCTGGCGCGGTTCTTGCACATCGCGTGCTGGATGTTGAAAAAGTCGTTGAGCTCTATATCTCATTTGGTCATTGTTGCTTTTGAGCAAATCAACAATTGTATCGATGGCTGACTCAAAAACATGCTTTGCTTCGACAAGTAAGAATGCTGCTAAATTTTTAATATCATGATTATTATATTGAGTGAACTATCTTTGAACAACAGGCAATACTTCATTCGATGGTTTTATAATATAAGGAAAAAGTATGGATATACGATCCTCTTCTCCTTTTTTTATCAATTCATCTATAATGATGGCTACTTGGGGTGTTAAAAATATTCCATCATGTAAACCAATAATTAATATCTTTTCTATATTTGATCGATTATTAGTATCTTTAAAAAGTTCAATCCATAGTTGATTAGTGTCATCTGTTTTACCAATAACTAATTTTGTATCATATAATAGTGCAATCAATACAAATAAAGATTGAAGTTCTGTATAATTGGGAATATTGATTATTTCTTTGTTATCATTCTCATTTTCTATATGTTGATTTATATTTGAATTTAGCAAAGTTGACTTAGAAACGTGTAATGTTTCAGTAAATAATATTCTTCCATAATAAGAATTGACAAAATAATTATGCATTTTATTCTTGAGTCTTTCTATAGTTCCATTTAGTTTAATTAAAAGATCATCATAAATATTGATTAATGGTTTTAATTTAATGATTAATTTGATTTTGTCATTATCTTCATCCATTCGATCAAGTGTTTCTATGGGAATAGCTAAATACTTTTTTCGAAATTCTCTTGATCCATAAAATGATAATCTTATTGATGAGATAATTCGATTATATAGATTATCAATATTGTCAAATGTTACAATTAATTCATCGACAATTTTTTGAATGAACGCGGTTCGATCTACTTCCTTATAATGGATAATGCTAAAGATTTTTTCCAATACTTGAAACTTTAAAGTTGGCTCTTGAATACTTTCCGTTAATATAAAAGATTTATTTAATAATTCATAACTTTTCTCATCATAAAATTCAGCTAACTGATACAGTGCTCTTGATTTATAATAAGGATTGCACATAGATTCAATTCTCTCAAGTAAAAATTTTTTTACATCTACCTGTTCATTTAATTCGGGTAGTAAATTTCTGTAAATTGTACGTCTATCATTAAATTTTGAGTTAATTCCAAAGTTTAACAGTACAACTAATGGAGTCAATTCTGGATTTTTCTTAAAATAATATTTTTTACGAAAAGTTTCAGAAATAGTATCCACTAGGAATGCTACATTTGTATTGACATTCTCTAAACAATTGAACAATCCTGTTGGTATATCGTCGTTATTGTTTAATTTAAAATTAAATGTGTCCATTACCTATGGATATCCTCGAATGGGTCTATAAATCTGAATTGCATCATTGATTTTCAAAAATGATTTTATAATCTGATTAGGTTCGCTTGATGGGATGTATTTGTCACATAATACAGCGACTTGATCTTGAAAATTATAAGCTGTACCAGCGATTTGAAAGGCATAATATTCTGCCTTCAAACTAGATTTATCTTCAATATTTTCTACAGCTTCTACTAATACTCTAGTCTCTATCGGCAAACCTCCGCTATTGGCGATTATGGATAAATATATTCTGCAATAATATAAAAAGTTAATGTCATGCAGTAAATTATTCGTTCTCATACCATTATAAATTTCAAGTAAGTATTTAGAAATATACGAAGACCATCTTGCAATAGGATTTTTTAAAATATCAATAAGTTATTCGATTCTATTGCTGAAACTTTTTATGAATATTTCTTCTCCTTTTGCAATAAGAGTATTTATGAAGTCGAAGTCACCCAAAACAATTAATGCAATGAATACTTCTATTTGTTCACGTTCATTTAACTGTTGAGTGCTGATTTGTTTTTGTAAGTCTTCTATTAAATATGTTGTAGATTTTTCTTCTTGAAGTAGTTCAAGAATTTTATTTGTTAAATATGACTCTTTGTATATGTCATTTTTATCAAATATTGGCTTTTCAGTCCAATGCTCTTTAGTTACTTTTGTATTGAGATACACAGCCATACTATAAGCTGCATCATCTCTATCCCAAATTTCTTGATAGTAAAACGTAAATGGAGCTCTTTCAATATTACTTAACTCTAGAAATTGAGCTATTTCATAATATTCTGAAATACTTGATTGAATCTTATAATTCTTATAACCTCCATAAAGAACTGTAATTAAAAGTAGCCATACATTACTATTTATAATAAATTTGATCATTTCTGGATTTTTTTCTATTGTACTTTTGAATTTCAATTGAGTTAATACTGCTTCATCTTTAATTTCGTTGGAATAGAATCGTAAGATCGAATCAATTTACCAATTCCAAATTATAGAATCATTGTGTAAATTCTTTACAAATATTTCATGAAATTTTGAATTATACCATTTCAATTGATAAATTATACTAGCACATGCAGCAACATTATCTTCATGATTCATCTTTTCAATAAACCATTCTGCCAACGTGTGATTATATTTTCTTTTCAACTTCAAGAAATAAGATTTAATTAATTCTTGATGTTCTTTTAAGCGTGAGAAACCAGATATATTTGTATAATCAGACAAACGCATATCTGCTAATTTTTGAATTAATTCATGCTCTGTATCTTTACAGGAAAAATGCATGTCATTTAATGAATCAATAATAACAAATGATATTAGAAGTGTAGACGATTGCATATTAAGCGAAACTTTTTCATCTGTTAACAATCTTCTAATAATATTACTAAATAATAGATTATCTTCATCGGATTTACTCAGAATTCCAAACGTCATACTAAGTGGAACTCGCCAATTGGGTATACCAATTTTATTCTGAATATATTATAATAAATCATATCTTCAGATTGTTGAGTTCCGTAATGAATGATAATACTTTTAGCTGCAAGATATTCTTGAAACGTACGGTGTATAAATCGAAAACTATTATGACCAAATTCATTGAGCACACCTGAATGATATTTAGAAATATCCACAAGTTTTGAGATTACTTCTTCAACCTTTGTTTCTAAAAATTTTGATCATTCNCTGAACAACAGGTAATACTTCATTTGACGGTTTTATAATATAGGGAAAAAGCATCGATATATGATCTTCTTTTCCTTTTTCTATCAATTCATCTACAATAATGGCTACTTGTGGTGTCAAAAATATTCCATCATGTAAACCAATAGTTAATATCTTGTCTATATTTGACTGATTATCAGTATCTTTTAAAAGATGAATCCATAAATGATCAGTGTTTTCTGTTTGATCAATAACTAATTTTGTATCATTCAATTGTGCAATCAATAAAAATAAAGATTGAAGTTCTATATAATTTGGAAGATCGACAATTTTTTTGTTATCATCCTCGTTTTCTAAATTTTGACTTATATCTAAATTTAAGTTTGACTTAGGAATATTTAATGTTTCAGTAAATAATATTCTTCCATAATAAGAATTGACAAAATAATTATGCATTTTATTCTTGAGTGTTGCTATCATTTCATTTAGTTTGATTAGAAGATCATCATAAATACTAATTAATGGTTTTAGTTTAATAATTAATTTGATTTTTTCATTATCTTCATCCATTCGATCAAGTGTTTCTAAAGCAATAGCTAAATACTTTTTTCGAAATTCTCCTGATCCATAAAATGATAATCTTATCGATGCAATAATTCGATTATGAAAACCATCAATATTGTCAAATGTTAAAATTAACTCATCAAGAATGTTTTGAATGAATAGCGTGCGATCTACTTCCTTATAATGAACAATACTAAAAATCTTTTCCAACACTTGAAACTTTAAAGTTGGTTTTTGAATATTTTTTGTTAATATAAAAGATTCATTTAACAATTCATAACTTTTTTTATCATAAAATTCTGCTAATTGATATAATGCTCTTGATTTATAATAAGGATTGCATATGGATTGAATTGTTTCAAATAAAAATTCTTTTACATCTGACTGTTCAGCTAATTCAGGAAGTAAATTTTTGTAAATTCCAAACCTATCACTGTCTTTTGAAATAATTCCAAAATGTAACAATACAACTAATGGAATCAATTCTGGATTTTTATTGAAATATTCTTTCTTACGGAAAGTCTCAGAAATGGTATCCACTAAATATGCTATATTTGTATTGATATTCTCTAAACAGTTGAACATTGCTATTGGTATATCATCATCATCATTGTTTAATTTAAAAGTAAACATGTCTGTGACCCATGGATACCCTCGAACTGGCCTATAAATCTGAATTGTATCACTAATTTTTAAAAATGAATTCATAATCAGATCAGGTTCAGTTGCAGAGATGCACTTGTCACATAATACAGCAACCTGATATTGAAAACTATGAGCTGTACCAGCGATTTGAAAGGCAAAGTATTCTGCATAAAGGCTATATTTATCTTCGACATTATCTACAGCTTCTGCTAATATCCTAGTGTCTATTGGCAAACCTCCACTATTGGCTATTATGGATAAATATATTCTGCAATAATGTAAAAAATTGATGTCATACAATAACGGATTCGCTTTCATACTATTATAAATTTTAAGTAAATATTCGGAAATATTCAAAGACCATCTTGCAATTGGATCTTTCAAAATATCAATAAGTTGTTCGATTCTATTTCTGAAGCTTTTTATGAATATTTCTTCTCCTTCTTCTATAAGAGCATTTATGAAGTCGAAGTCACCTAAAACGATTAATGCGATGGATACTTCCACTTTTTCACTTCTACTTAATTTTTGACTATTGATTTGTTTGCGCAAATCTTCTATTAATTCTGTTGTCGATTTTTCTTCCTGAAGTAGCTCGAGGATTTTATTTGTCAAAAATGATTCTTTGTAAATGTCATTTTTATCAAATATTGGCTTTTCAGTCCAGAGTTTTTTAGTTACTTTTGTGTCAAGATACACAGCCATACTATAAGCTGCATCATCTCTATCCCAAATTTCTTGATAGTAAAAAGTAAACGGTGCTCTTTCAATAGAGCTTAATTCTAGAAATTGAGCTATTTCATAATATTCTGATATGCTTGATTGAGTCTTGTAATTCTTATAGCCTCCATAAAGAGCTGTAATTAATGGAAGCCAAGCCTTGCTGTTTATAATAATTTTGATTATTTCTGGATTTTTATTTATCGTATTTTTGAATTTTAATTGTGTTAACACTGCTTCATCTTTAATTTCATTCGAATAGAATCGTAAGATCGAATCGATTGGCCAATTCCAAATTATAGAATCATTGTGTAAATTCTTTAGAAATATTTCATGAAATTTTCGATTATACCATTTCAAGTGATAAATAATGTTAGCACATGCAGCAACATCGTCTTCATGATTTATCTTTTCAATAAACCAATCTGTCATTGTATTATCATATTTTCTTTTCAATTTCAAGAAATAAGATTGAATCATTTCCTGATGTTCTTTTAAACGTGAGAAACCAGACATATTTTCATAATCAGACAATAGCATGTCTGCTAATTTCCGAATCAATTCATGTTCTGTATCTTTGAATGAAAACTGCATGTCATTTAATGAATCAATAATAACAAATGGTACTAGAAGTGTAGAAGATTGCATATTAGATAAAGCTTTCTCATCTTTTAACAATCTTCTAATAATATTGCTAAATAATAGACTATGTTCAGCTGATTTACTCAGAATTCCAAATGTCATACTAAGAGGAACTCTCCAATTGGGAATATCAATTTTATTATGAATATTGTGATAAATCATATCTTCCGATTGTTCACTTCCATAACGAATGATAATACTTTTAGCTGCAAGATATTCTTGAAACGTACGATGTATAAATCGAAAACTATTATGACCAAATTCATTGAGTACACCTGCTTGGTATTTAAAAATATCCACAAGTTTTAAGATTAATTCATCGATCTTTGTTTCCAGACTTTCCGATGATTTCTTTTGATAATCTAATAAACATTTTCTTATTATTTCTTTTAACATATTCTCTGATAGTCCTTCAACTTTACTATGAAGATATTCAGCTATTTCTTGTAATATTGACCAAAACATAGTGGCATTGAGTCCAAGCTCTTTGCCTAGATAATTTGTTGAAGAATTGATATAAAGTGTTACTAACCGTTCTATCATTTTTTCGATGGCTTTTTCATATAAATCAATTCTTTTCTCTGGTAATTGACCATCGCATTGATTATAAACTGCAGCAATTACACTGGCCAATTGTGGATTAATCGCCAAATGAAAAATATCTTTGCTTTGTGTTATATCATTATGTAATTGATCGATATTACTTTCTTTCGCAAGTCTTCCAGCTTTAACTGAAATCTCATTAATACATTTCATATATGAACTACAAAATAATTTGAGAGCATCATTAGACATATCTTCAATAGTTAATCTTGGAATAAAAAAATTGATATCTTCAAAATAATTTCCTTCAATACGACTTGTTATGATGAATCGATTACCGCTAGTAGGATCTCTGGTATTATATATTTCTTTCTGTTCATAAACTGAATAAGTAAGCTTATCATGCATCAAATCATAATCTATTCCTCGTTCTAATAATGTGTTTATTTCCTTTATTAAATCCGATCGATCCACATGAACAGGAACTTCATCTAAACCTTCGAATATAACTAAAATATTTCCTTCTACTAATGATTGTTTCATCAAAAATGATAGTTCCATTCGCTCGTCATTATTGAAAAATGTTGAGTCAAAAGTAGAATTTTCATAAATAAACTGAAGTAAAGTAGATTTTTTTTCATTGTGATTTTCTTTTACTTGATCAACATATTTCCATATTGGAATAAGAATTGGTATTTTCTCTTTCCTAGAATAAATGTGATCAAATAACATATTCTTCTCACCTAAACATTGCTTAGCCATATTGATGATCAACCATTTCGACAGTGTAGTTTTACCTGAACCAGGATGACCTAAGACTATGAAATGTTTAAACTCATTGTATGCTTGTTGAATTCGATATTGTCTTGCTTCTTTAAAGTTATTTTGTTCCAGAATACTTTGCTTTAATCTATTCACCTTAGTTTTGATAGCAGTCGCCTGATTATCAGTAAATATATTTTTGTTGCTTAACAAGACGTTTAACCATTGATCAATCATGAAATCACTACAGTGTGTGTCAGAATTGAAGGCATTTTTTTTCTATGAAAGCTCTGTTCAGTTGTTGCCTTTCATGCTCATTAAAAAAGCCAGGATAGAAAAGTTTACGCTTAAACTCTTCAGTGATTTCCAGCATTTTCATTGCTCTAATTGACGGATGTGTTGGATCAAATTTTAATTCTACATAGACACTTTCCAAAGGTAAACTCATGTTAGTATTAGAATATCCAAAAATTGATACATGTGCATATTCATTGATAAGATAATTCAAATATTTTTTACGAACAAATTCTTTTTTATCTATCAATGATAAACTTTCACGTATTAATGATGTAAATGATTTGAGACTTTTTAGAAATTGTAATAAATCTTCTGCATTATTGCCATATTGAACTTCCTTAATATTCTCCGAAAACAAAATATTTGGTATTTGATGAAACATGTGATATTTATTGGATTTAACAAGTTTATACATGGACGATGGTTTGTTATCTGTTACAAAAAATATCCATTTCAATAAATTCGAAAAAGTTGGATCAGATATTTCGCCATCATATCCAATGAATAACAAAGTCTTTGTTTTCATAAGTTCTTTCAGTCTTGATTGACTAGATTCGTTTTTAAGGAGTTGATAATAATCATGGCTACTGAAAATTATACTATCTGTATCTTTAAAATGCCCATATACATGTAAAATATAATCTTTGAAATGCTCTAACGAATCATCAATACCATTAGTATAATATTCATTCCAAGTTAATGGTTTTTTGCCAAGTACATCTTCAAGCAATAAGTCATAGTTAGTTGTTAAAATTGGACACTCTAATTCTTCTATAGATTTAATAAGCTCCAGTCTTTTAGCTGATAAATTTCCTACTGTTTCTCTTAACCATGTTTTGTAAAGATCATCGTTTATCTCATCCCTTTTCATTTGAAAATAAGCCTTAATTTGGTCGGCAGCAAGTAAACAGTCATCAATTTTTGCTATATCACTATCGAACTGAGTATCGAAACACACAAATTCTTCGTCGCTCATCCATCCTGATCGGTAACATTGTTGTAATCCGTGTTTTAGTAATCCTTTCCAATCACACACTCTTTGTTCACCATTTGTTGTATAAATAGATACACCTCTGCCAATAAATATCACTGCATTGTTTAAAGCTATATCATTTTTAAGTTTTTGAATTGGGTCAGCCATTCGTTCAGTCTATCGTTTAAAATTCACGTATAATTAAAGATCACTACAACAATAACGAATATTATGAACAAGCAAAACGATATGAATGAAGGATGATAGAGCTAGTCTGAAATGCTCAGAGACAAAATCGAATAATCAAATTAATCGATTATAACAGCTCACGAGAGAAGATTATTAATCTATTTCAACTTTCTCGTCTACCCTATCCTTCAAATCTGTTTCGAGAAGAATCAACTATGACTCACATGTAGTGACTCATATATACATTTCGTATGAGAGATTCTTGTTCGGATAAGAAAGAAGATAATAAGCTTTTTAAACATAGTTGATTGTAGCTCGGAGATGTACGACACTACCAACAGTAATTATGATAAGATAACGAAAAACTAAGATATCTAGCGTGTGCTTACACGTTCGAGTTTCTAGGTTGAGCATATTCCTAGTAGCAAATATTCATATTTTATTGATTTAGCTTGCTTGAGATATTCATCAAATGAATCCGTAGTTATTTCAATTCTGTAACGATCTCGTAATAAATAATTTATTAGTTAAAATGTGATGTGTACGAACCTATATCGAATTATCAATTGGTTTGAATTATAAATTCGATAAAGATTTTTAAATTTCAAAAATCACACAAATAAGTCACTTATTGCGAGATTGATTTCTTATAAGAAATCGTCAAAACTATGCTCCAAAGAATCTAGATCTGTGAAATATAATGATTGTCGATTGGGATGCACTCAATTCAAAAATTTCATGTGTCGAATTCTTCGGTTTTCATGACCTAGTTTAGTTACTTACCTAATCGAATTTAAATTTTCTCAGACTTTTAGCGTTCTATGTACATTATTTTCTGAAAAATTCTTAACAAAAAAAAATTTAACAACTGTTTTGATCTCAATGTGATCATATAAGACTAAAACGGACATGTCTAAATGTATATTTATCTATGAACAAGTTGGAAAATTTCAATTATGTCATAAAGTAGTATGCTGTGAAAATTCCATGTACTAATAAGATAAATATAGTAGGAAGAAATTCAAAATGCGTAGGATGGATATTCCTCCCGCTTTTCAATTTTTTAGATTTCTTAACTTGAGCGAAAAGATATTAAGAAGTAGCAAAAAAAAAGCACGTTTTTTTGCTATTTCGAACACTCACCTGTATGTATTTAAAGCGCACAAGAGTACCGCCTTCTTCAAAAGAACAAGCAGAAGTGACTTGCTTTTGTTTTTACTAGAGAGAGAAACTTTTTTTTCTTTCTCTGCTGGTATTTTTCGGCGAACCTAGCAACTTTTTTTCAATGGCAAGAATTGTTGTCGATTGACTAATACCATTTTTTTTTACTTTCCAACTAATATTCACAGAGAAGCAAGCGTAGTTTATGCGTCATAGTGAGTACTTTTGCGTTAGCCGGCTTTTGAGGAAAAAGATTGCCTAACATTTGTCGTATTCTCTTTTTTTTCAACGAATTTGCTCTTTGAAAATTAAACATATATGCTCGTCAGAGCCCTAATCAAAGAGGCTTCTTCATTCTCGCTGTATGCCGATTCAACATATTCTTCCATTATTTAGCATGGTCGGCTACATATTCACAAACAGAATGAAAAAGTGCATACCAATCATCGTTTGTATGTCGTAAATTTTCTACAGAAGACGTTACACGGGCGAATATCGAGGGCTCGTCCCTAATGCGATTCCGATCATCACAGCTAAAATAGTCCCCAAGGGTGTGGGTGTGGGTGTTGGCGAATAGAGAACCCACATTCACATGTACACGCACACAGAAACTGGGAATAAAAGACTGGCGCAAGAATACCTTGAATAAAGATTAATGAAGGAACACCATCGATAAATATTCACTACAGAAACCCATTAGCAACCAAATAAGAAAACAGTACACCAATAAAAAGACCTACAGAAAAATGACAAAAGAAAGAACAGAGTCATATTAAGAACTCTAAAGAAGTAATCAGTCAAGTAAGTAGGACACCAACATCATTGACACATGAAATCTGCCCTAATTGTGGTAAAAGCTGTAAAAACGAAAAAAGGCTAAGGGTACATAGACAAACCTGGGACAAAAAAAGACTATAAACAATCACATCAATCATGACGAAGATAATATCGGTTCCAGCGACAGCGCAATAGACAGTAATCGAACTTCTAAACAAAAACTCCAAAGGAAAATATGAATGTCCACAGTGCAGTGCACAATTGAAGCTTCAAGGTATCACAGGACATGTCAAAAGTTGCGCAAACGGTTGGTGTAACAAGAATGATATAAAAGTTGCGGTTGACGAATAAACTGAGTACCAATAGCGTGATATATGATAGGTTTTACTGAAACCGCCTAGATAAGGCGGATGTAGCATCTTGACCCTGGTTACGACTATTGAGGTTCTACGATGACCGAACGCAACTAAGAACACAAAAGAATATAGCACTCTCTGGTGGTTCTTTCTTCTTTCTTTCTTCCATCCTTGTTTGCTGTCTCTTCTACTTCACCTTGTATGTCTTCGTCCTCTTTTTCTTTTTTCTTTTTGTTTTCTTTCTTAATAGTTTCCTGTTTTGAAGTATATATTGATCTTCACCCTATACCGAATGATACGGATATAACTAACTAAAATCGGTTTGGGCTGACATTTCCACTGCCAATACATATCAAGATTATGTACTTATCATTAAAAAATGAGTTGGATGTGGGTGTGTGAGAATAGAAGATCCACATCCATACCCAAAGCTGCAACAGGTTATTATTTATTTAAACATGAATGTAAACGCTTTCAAAACGCGATTAGATGCTTTTTTACAGCATTTATAAGTTACATGGGACGCTAGAAATCTACAAAAATAACTTTTTTCGGCTCCAGCTCTGTTAAAAATTTTGAATGTGGCTGTGAACGAGCCAAGAAGGAGAACCATATATGCGCATCCATGTACCTGAACACACATTGACATCTACACTCAAATCCGAAACCCCTCTCCTCACCTTGACCATTAATGATCAATTGCGAAGTCTAACCTTGTCAGTAGCACATAATTGTCGACCGATCTTGTCAACAGGCGATCGATACTGAAAAAGACGCTTCGCATGACATCAAGGAATTCAGCATATAATTCCACGGTGCATACGATGATTTGTATGAACATTTTTTCTTCTTGTTCTTAATACAAAAAAAGGAACATACCGAAAAGAAAAATCATAAAAGTAAAACTTCAACGTTTTACTGTCATAAGCATAGCCGATTCAGAGCTGTAAAGACTGCCACCCTGCTCATCGACAATCTGTAGGAAAATCATGCGAACACTGCTTTCAAACCTGAATCATACAGATAGAAGCCGGAATAAAAAGGGCAACGAATACTCTCATTTCGAATCAATTCAATCAATTTGCTCACTGTCTAAGAAAAACAAATTAATCATTCGCGCCAAACATGATCAGAATGTAGATGAATCAGCCGAAATATGATTCCATTCAAGAACTCACACATCAATCAGTAAAAACCAAGCAGACAGCTTTACTGCTTCATATAAACACAGATATAGAAAAGAAACAAAAGTTCTTTTACATTCCCAAATTGTTCGCATCACAAACAACAAAACATTTCAGATACAAACGAATCAAAACATGCTCATAGTGCACAGACGCAGCCATAGCGCCATACAGCAATTACGAACTAAACACCATAGTGAACACAGCCGACCCAACCATATCATGATCATATCATATTTCAAATCCAGCTTCGCAAAGCGTCACAATACTATAAACTCACTAAACATGTCAATGACATATTTGTTGAATACGTCTCATAAACGAAACATGCACAACTCTCATTCAATTGAATTCAATATTCAATGTTCTTTATAAACTTTATGATAACATCAACATCAAATAATACTCATCATGAAATTATTTTGAAATTATCTTTGAATTGAATTAGAAATTCAATATTTTTTATAGATTTTATTTACACATCGACATAGGATAACACTTACCATGAAATTATTCTAAAACAATGTTTCGACTGAAATAGAAATTCAACGTTTTGTTTTATAGATTTGGTATTAAAATCAACATCAGATAATACTCACCATGAATTTATTCTAAAATCATGTTTTAATTGAATTAGAGATTCAATCTTGTTTATATGCTTATGCATAACATCAACATCAGAGAATACTTATGATAAAATTATACTAAAATTATGGTTGAATTGAATCAGAAGTTCATTTTGGATGCCGGTGTGGAAAGACCAGCAATAACACCGATACATACCCACCCACACCTACGAGTATGACTTCTCAGCAGAAGTACAAAATATACTCGTCTACATCCACCCATATAAAGTACATGTTCAGTTTTTGAGAAAATTATTGGCACGTTGCATGAGGCCTCCTGGTAAGGGTAACAGTGTTCAGCAATGCAGCACTACTAATTGAAAAAACTTGTTCATACAGTTGGTTCATATTTATTCATCACATGCTCTTTTTCTCTCTCACGCATTAATATTATGCTTTCTAATTGCACTTCTGACGCCATAATTTGATTGATTTTATTTACATAACATTTCTAAGACCGGATACACATAGGAGAAAATTATTCATTTTACTGTTTCTGAACTTCGTCACTAGATCTCAAGATTGAGAGGTGAAATAAGAACTTTTCCCAGTGAAGGAGTGGTGCCATATTTCTATTGCGAATGATCTGATCGATGAGACAAAACTAAAAGCAGTATCATCTAAGGAAACATACTAGGAAAAAGTTGCAATTGAAATTTGCCATCAACAGTATTGATAACTATTCCAACAAGAATTTAACTACACATATGGCTTTTGAATCGGACAGTATCATTGAAAACAATGAAGATCAAAGTAGCAGACGATGTTTTTTCAAGTAGCACAACTATGCTTCTTTTATTGGTCACAATCATTTCGTCATTAATCTATACAATTATTAGATCAGGCAAAACAAGACGAATAAAAATGATTAGCAA